AGATGGAGCAACTCAAGCAGCAGGCCAGAGTGTTTAAGGAGACCTTGACACATCTATTGAAATCCCTCAGAAGAAAGGCAGGGTTTGGGAGGGAGAAGGGCCACATACAGCCTTCTAGGTCCTCCGGTGCAGCCTTTTGACTGACTCCAATTTTACAGAACAAATCCTTTTATTAAGGTGATTTGTTTTGTGAAGTTTGGATTCAGTCAGAGGGTCGCACTTGAGGACCTAAAGGGCCACATGTGGCCTTGAGGCGAAGTTTCCCCACCCCTAGAACCTAGTAGGGAAGGTGCTTCAAGTAGAAATGAGGCCCAAGGAGTATGCTGATCCCTTCTTCCTCTCATCTAGCACCTCAAGGTTGGAGTAGAGGGAGTGGGGAGGACCGAAGAGCATACTGGGGTATTGGAGGGGGAGACCAGGGATGCAGTGTTTTCTAGGAGGAGTTAGGCTCCCCTGACCACAAGAGACAGAGGATCAGATCTAAAGCTTGAGCTAGTAGAAACTTCAGAAGACAATTACTACAACTAGTTCATTTTTTTTTTTAGGCAATTGGGGTTAAGTAACTTGCCCAGGGTCACACAGCTGGTAAGTGTCAAATGTTTGGTTGGAGGCCGGATTTGAACTCAGGTCCTCTTGACTTCAGGGCCAGTGCTCTATCCACTGCACCACTTAGCTGCCCCTACAACTAGTTCATTTTACAGAGTGGGAAACAGAGGCCCAGAAAAGTTAATGACTTGCCTAAAGTCATACAAATCATAAATGTCAGAGGTAGGATTCTGCCTTCGGAGCCAGTGTTACTTCTGTGGAAGATGTCTAGGGCAAAGAGGAGTTTTTAAAGAACAGGAAAGGGCACTGGACTTGGAATCAGGAGGACTTCATCTTCCTTTATGAATTCAGATCCAGCCTCAGATACTTAGTGGCTGTGTAACTCTGGGCAAGTCATTTAACCCTGTTTGTCTCAGTTTCATCATCTGTAAAATGAGCTGGAGAAGAAAATGGCAAACCACTCCAGCATCTCTGCCAAGAAAACCCCAAATGAGGTCACAACTGAACAAAAACAACAAACAACATGTTTTAAAAATAAAATAAAGAACAGAAAATCAAAAAGGACACAATGGAAGGGGAGGGCAGAGCAGGATAAAGCCTCTAGAGGGGTAGGACTGAAGTGGATCTGTATAAGGGACTGGGGGAGGGCTAGCAGGGAAAGGGAGTTTTCATGCTGTGACTCTGAATTGAGTGGATTCGGAGAAGCAAAAAGATCTTGTCCTTCATATAGCCGTGGGTTTTCCTCACCATTTTTCCCTACCCCTTCCATTCTAACTGAAGTTGCCCCAAATGTCAGAATTCTTAGGACTCTGAGTCACAGTGACACAAACAGAGTCATTTGCTGTGACATAAATACGGTCATTTGCTGTGATGCAAACCTTGCAATCACTCCCTTTGACTCATGCAGGAAAGTTCTACATCTTTCCTTACCCCAACCCTGACCCTCAGCAAACTTCTTTGTTTTTGCTTGAAATCAAAACACCTTCAGTTCTTAATAAGCAAAAGTCTTCCTCCTACTCTTTCTGTGCCTCTTCTCCTAACAAAAGAGTCAGCAGGAAGAGAAAGGAGAGGCACAGTGGCCTCTAAAAATTAGTCACAGAAAGTTTTTTCTTCACAGGAGGGAAGTGTGGGTATACTATTGTTCATTTTGCTGCTTTTATGCTCCAAGTTAAAAGTTGTTTGCTTTTGAAAAACCTAATCAGTTATGTTTTTTAGGATGGTTGGATGAAAGGCAGAACATTGATGTTGATTTCAAAACCCATGAGCTCAAGAGCAAATTTCTCTTAGGTCAGTCAAATTTGCAATACACAATGTTCCCACTCCCTATTCTTTTCTTCATTGCCTCCTTCTTTCTTGTGATCTCCCAAAGCTACAGCAGAGAGCGTAAATTTTGCCTGAAATAACTCACCTTACTTCTTTCTTGTGATCTCCCAAATCTACAGTGAAGAGAATGTAAATTTTGCCTGAAATAACTCACCTACTTTTTTCTTGTGATCTCCCAAATCGACAGTGAAGACAACATAAAATTTTGCCTGAAATAAATCACTAAGAAAATCTGCTTTCTCTTTCTCTGGGAGCTAGAGAGTGAACACAAGTGCATGGAGGCTTTTGACCCCTAAATGTTGTGCAGTTTGAGGTATAAAGGAAGAATATAATCAGGTTATGTACCTAAGGTCAGAGTTAGAACTAGCTTTGGAGAAAAAAAAATCCTATCTAGCAACATCTTTACAGAGTGAGCATTCAAAATTGATTCTGTTGAGAAGTTTTTAGAAATAAATTTATCTCATTAATTTTATTTTTTTTTCCATTATGACACTTTTGTTGATAAAAATAATCCAGTAAATGATATTCACAGATAGTGACCATGGCGACCACACTTTCTGTGAGTACTGTCAGAGGGGGTTGGAGTGACATCTTCAATCCACCGAATCTTCCTTCCAGAACATATCAGGGCTCTCAGGGCTGACTGTGTGCCAGGTCCAGGGATCTTAGTCCTATTTCCTGCTATGGCCCAAAGTTTGATGTGAAGGGCAGTGATGTCTAGTTCTTTACATCTCTGGGCAACATACTGAGCAGCCATCACAGCAGCATAGAGAGAAGATTCACCTCTGTCAGCCTTGACCTTTATTCCACCAGACACTGGGCAGAAGGTTTCTTTGCCAGAGGGATTAGTCGCATGGACAAAGTTGTCTTTGAAGGAAGCAAAGATATGGCAGACACCAAACACATTCTCTCCCTCTGCAACCTGAGGTCCAAGGCTGATGATCTGCCCTTCCTTCTTTTCCTTCCCCTTGTGAGGTGCCATTTTCTACTCCTCTGCTTGGGCCTCCAACACAAGAAAGGCTAATTATTCGTTTTAAAAAGGAAAGTAGAATCTAACTGCAAAAGTAAGTCTCTCCAAAGAGACACTTTTTGAACCTCTGGAAAAGCCCATGTCTTGGAATTCATGGGACAGAGGTCCCCATCAGCCACATGGTGGCAGTGTACCGAAGTTTAAGGGGTAAACGAAAGATAAACCTGTAGCATCAGGGCTGACGCTGGGTTTTACCAGGTGAAAATATGAAAACAACAATGATAACATTTCAAAACCCAAACCATTTTCAGAGGAGAAGGAGGAGGCTACATAACAATAAAATATGAGAACATCGACCACGGTTATGTACGAAAGGGGATTTTGTGTGCCTGGAGACCCCTAAGCTAGCTAAGCTGTGCAAAAACCTCTGAAGTATTCCTGAAATGCTGGTGGATTGGATTCTGATGCTACTATTGATTGGGTAGCTACCAATCAGTGGGACAGTTCTGCTCTTAAGAGTCAAAGAAATATATTGGTGCCAGTGGAGGAGATAGGGTTACAGGCTAGCCCTCCTCAGAAGCATTTTGAGAATCCCAGACGGCTTGGAACAGAGGACAGCAGAGCAAATGGCAGTTCTTTTGTGAAGTAATGTCTGTACCAAAAGTATTTCTGTAAATTTTAACTCTATTTACCACATGCTGTAAGAATGCCTATCAAACCTCCTCTTTTAAACTAGGAAGTATAAATCTTTCTATAGCTGCCTTAAGGTGATGGGTGAACCCTGTGTTTCATTAATATTATATGGGTTTCAAAGACTCCAGCTACTGGGGTAAGGATTCACTATTTGACAAAAACTGCTGAGGAAAACTATGCAGCAGCCTGGCAGAAATTAGATTTAGACCAGCACTTTACACCAGATACCAAGATAAGCTCCTAATGGATACATGCCCAAATATAAATGGTCATCTCATAAACAAATGAGAGGAAAAATTTAAAAAAAAATGCTCTTCAGACCTATGGATGGGGAAGAGCTCATGATTAAATAAAGAATAGAGAGAATCACAAAAGATAAAATGACACCCTTGATTATATAAAATTTAAAAGTTTTTGCACAAAGACTTTAGGAATGCAAGATACACGGAAACAGATTACAGCTACCAATACCCCACCTGTTTATTATACATACACACACACACATATGGATTTACATATACAGTATAAGAAATGAATCTTAGCAATTATAAGCAAAGGTTTCATGTTGCTTTTTAAGAGGTGCAATGGATAGAGTACATGACCTGAAGTCAAGAAGACCTGAATTTAAATCCTACCTCAGACTCTGGCTGTGTTTCCCTGGGAAAATCATTTGACCTCTCTAAGACTCAGTTTCCTCATCTGTAAAATAGAGATAATAAAAGCATCTACCTCATAGGATTGTCAAGTAGCTAGGTGGTGCGTTGGATAGAATTCAGGACCCGGAGTCAGAAAGATCTGAATTTATCCAGTCTCAGACACTTACTAGCTGTGGGATGATGAGAAAGTCACTTAGCCCCCATCTGCCTTACTTTCTTAATTTGTAAAATGGTGGCGATAATAGCACCCACTTCTCAGGGTTATTGTGAGCACAAAATGAGTTAATATTTGTGAAGTGCTTTGCAAATCTCAAAGTTCTATATGAACACTAGGCATTATTGCAGGCATGCCTCATTTTATTGCACTTCACTCACATTTGTCTCTTTGTCACATTTTGGTAATTCTCACAATATTTCATACATTTTCATTATTATTACATCTGTTATGGTGATCTGTGATCAGTGATCTTTGCTGTTACTATTGTGATTGCTTTGGGGCACCATGAACAGTGCCTTTCTAAGATGGTGAATTTAAACAATAAATGTTTTCTGTTCTGACTGTTCCACCTACTGGCCATTCCTTGTCTCTCTTCCCCTCTTTGGGCCTCCCTGTTTCCTGAAACACAGCAATGTCGAAGAACATTACGTAAACTTAGCTGAAAAAGCAGGGGCAGGGTTTTCGAAGATTGACTCCAATTTTGAAAGAAGTTCTATTGTCAGTAAAATGCTACCAAACAGCATTGCATGCTACAGAGAAATCTTTCATGAAAGGAAGAATCAATACATTGATCCAAACTTCATTGTTGTCTTAGTTTAAGAAATTGACACAGCCACCCAAGCAAACACCACCCTGATCAGTCAGCAATCTTCAACACTGAGGCAAGATCCTCCACCAGTAGAAAGATGATGGCTTGCTGAAGGTTCAGATGCTGGTTAGCATTTTTTTATTAAGGTACGTACATTGTCTTTTTAGATATACTGTCACACACTTAATAGGCTACAATATAGTGTAAGCATAACTTTTATATCTACTGGGACTTGCTTTATTGTGATATTTGCATTATTGTAGTGGTCTGGAACTGAACCCACAATACCTCTGACATATTCTTGTATTTAGTTGTAGAAATCAGATTAGATAATATTTGTAAAGTGCTTTGCAAACCTTGTGCTATATATGTGCTAGTTATCATTATAATAGTAACAATTATTATTATCATAATTTGCCAATGGTACCTTCAGCTCCAAGTCACACACACAATATATTGAAGACTTACTGAAGGTAATCATAATCAATCAGCAAACATTTATTAAGTACCTCCTATGTGCCAGGAATTGTACTAGGTGATAGAAAAATAATTACATCTCTAAGCATAGATTAGATAAAACTAGAGCTGAAATAGAGGAGTCCCCAAAATCCAAAGAGGGAAAATTTGAAGAACCCAAAGTCTTTGTGTAAAAACTTTTAAATTTTATATTATCAAAGGTGTCATTTTATCTTTTGTGATTCTCTCTATCCTTTATTTAATCATGAGCTCTTCCCCATCCATAGGTCTGAAGAGAGGTGTTTTTTTAAATTTTTTCCTCTCATTTGTTTATGAGGTGACCATTTATATGTGGGCATGTATCCATTAGAAGCTTATCTTGTTGTGTGATGTAAAGTGCTGGTCTAAATCCAATTTCTGCCAGGTTGTTGTATAGTTTCCTCAGCAGTTTTCGTCAAATAGTGAAACCTCACCCCAGTAGCTGGAGTCTTTGAAACCCATATAATATTAATGAAATACAGGGTTCACCCATCACCTTAAGGCAGCTATAGAAAGATTTATACTTTCTAGTTTAAAAGAGGAGGTTTGATAGGCATTCTTAGAGCATGTGGTAAATAGAGTTAAAACTTACAGAAATACTTTTGGTACTGACATCACTTCATAAAGCAATTGTAATGGCTGACAACAGGTACCGGCCACTGGATTTCTCACGTGTAACCAAAAGTGGTTTAGATTTTAGGTGGAGCCTATGAAATCACTGAAACCCAAGAGTAGAATCAAAGGACTCTTGAGAGCTACATCGTCATAAATTCAACCATGTTGATAACTAGATAGCATAATATTTAGAATGCTGGACTTGGCAGCAGGAAGACCTGGGTTTGGGTCCTGCCTCAGATACTTATTAACTGTGCAACCCTGGTCAAGTCCCTGTGCCTCAGTTTCCTCATCTGTAAAATGAGGGAGTTGGACCTGACGACCTATAAGGCCCCTTCCAGCTCTAATTCTATGATCCTATGACTAATATGGGGACAAAGAAATGTTGAAACAATGGTTGAGTCCTGTGGATTTGTTTATAGAAACAAAGTGCCTATATGCATGGTGGTAGGGGCCTATCTCCTATTGCATCACAATTTGCAATGTTCTGACCTTAGGCATCTCAGGTGGGGGTGGGGTATGTCCAAGATACAGGATAAGCAAAGGCCCACCCTAAGAGCAGATGGGAGTCTCCTTTGGGGTAAACCCTCAACCTTCAACCAGCCTGGTCATCTTAACGATAATGGTCTTATGCCAAGAAACAGGGTAGGAGATGGTCATCTATTAGGAGACACAGGCAAAGGCATGGGTGGAGGGAGGGATAGGTTCAGCAAACAAGCTAGTAAGTGTCCATAGCAAATTAAAACTGTGTCACAAATCAGAGTCACACAATGGACCCTAGGTCCAGTCTAAGAAACTTTTAAGGATCACACAGCAATCAGTGCCTATTTCCACTACATCTGTATGTATCTTTTTGTACATAGTTGTTAGCATGTTGTCTTCCTGATTATACTGTGAGCTTCTTAAGATCAGAGACTGCTTCTTCTCCTTTCTTTGTGTCCTCAAAGCTTGGCACATTTCCTGACACATAAATGGGTGCTTAATGAAGGGTAGTTGACCTACTGATTGATTGGATTACCATACCTAGAGGGTGGTGTATAGGACAGATAACAAGAGGGGAATTCTTTCTGCCTCCTAGGAAACCCTTCTTCATCTAATTTCCTGCCATATATCTGCTCAAGGCGCACCAGGCGTGCTGGCAGTTTGGTACCATTCTCCAGGATTTCTGAGGCCTCTGAGATATCCTCAGGTAATCTGAAGAGCCAGTCAGAGATAACCAATCCAAACACCTGGCTGTGGTTTGTGGCTCCCTTGGCAACAAGTGGTGGTTTCACCTTTGTACCACTGTCTGCCTCCACTGATTTCTAGTTGGTGAAGGATGGCTAATCAGCTGTGCTTTCAAGTGACTCACTAACTGTCCCCTACTAACCTAATCTTACAGAAGGTTGGTTGTCTCTGAAGCTGGGGTTCTCAACCTGGGTTCCATGGATAAATTTCAGCAGGTCCATGAACTTGGATGGAAAAAAAGTTATATCTTTATTTTCACTAATCTTTATCTGAAAACGAAGAGGATATCCAACAATTGAGGAATGACTAGGTAAGTTATGGTGTATAAATGTGATGGGATATTATTGTGCTATAAGAAATGAGGGAATAGATAATTTCTTTTTTATTGATTAAATTTATTTATTTATTTTTAGTTTTCAACATTCACTTCCATAAGATTTTGAGTTTCAAATTTTCTCCCCATCTCTCCCCTCTTCCTACCCCAAAGCAGCATGCAATTTGATATAGGCTCTACATATATACATTCATTCTGAACCTATATTCACATTAGTCATGTTGTAAAGAAGAAATAGAACCAATGGGAGAAACCACAAGAAAGAAGAAGCAAACAAAAAAAGAAAAAAAAAGAGGAAGCAAATAATATGCTTCAATTAGCATTCAGACTCCACAGTTCTTCTTCTGGATGGGAATAGCATTTTCCGTTATGAATCTTTTGGAGTTGTCTTGTTTTTTTTTTCTTCTTCTTTTTTTTTGGTGAGGCAATTGGGGTTAAATGACTTGCCCAGAGTTACACAGTTAGTAAGTGTTATATGTCTGAGGTCAAATTTGAACTCAGGTTCTCCTGACTCCAGGGCCGATGCTGTATCCACTGCGCCACCTAGCGGCCGCTTTGGAGTTGTCTTGGATACCCGCATTGCTGAAAAGAGATGAGTATCAAAGTTAGTCATTGCACATTGTGGCTGTTACTGTGTACAATGTTCTCCTGGTTCTGCTCACTTCACTCAGCATCAGTTCATTCAAGTCTTTCTAGGTTTTTCTGAAATCTGCCTGTTCATTATTTCTTATAGCACAATAGTAGGGAATAGATAATTTCAAAAAGACACATCAAGACTTATATAGGCTGATGCAGGGTAAAGTGAGCAGAATTAGAAGAACAATTCATACCATATTACAAACGTGATCGATCTGCAGGACTTTTATAAACTAATGAATAGGTAGTTGGTAGAACAGTCGAGGCAGCTGGTGGTGCAATGGACAGGGCACTTGATGGTCCCAGAACTAGGAAGACCTGAGTTCAAATTTGGCCTCAGACACTTACTAGACTGTGTAAGCCTGGGCAAGTCACTTAACCTCTGTTTACTTCAGTTTCCTTAACTGTAAAATGGGGATAATAACACCTACCTCCCAGGGTTGTTGTGAGAATCAAATGAAATAATAATTGCAAAAGTAATTAGTATATAAAAAAAGAAGAAAAGTACTTGGTATAGTGCCTGGCACATAGTAGGTGTAGCATATAAATATTTATTCCCTTCTCTTCCTTCCTTAAATAAAAATGAAATAAGTAGAACCAGAATAATTTATATAATAACAACATTATATAAACAAATAACTTGGAAAGATATAAGCAAATGATCAATGCAATGAGTATCCCAGGGGGATGATAATGAAATACGCCATTACAAAGAAGTGATAAATTTCTGGTGTGGTATGAGACACCTATATTTTTGCATATAGCCATTCAGGGGATTTGTTTTATTTAACTACGCAAGGCTATTTCAAGAAATTTGCTTCTCTCTCTCTCTCTCTTTTTCCAGTGAAGTAGGACGGTCCACTGCCTCATTTCATCCTTACACCACGCCAGGTGGGTACCATTTTACAGAGAAGCACACTAAGTTTCCGTGAGGTGACTTGCCTATGGTCACAGAACTCCTAAGTATCGAGCCAAGATTCCAACCCAGCTCTCTGCTGTGACTCCAAGGCCAACAATGCTCTTTGCATTACCTCATCTCATCTCAGAGATTAATCTAGAATGGATCACCAGAATCATTTCCAGTCCAAAATGAGCCATTGTGAAGGCACCATTGGCAGAAATCTTTTCTACCCAACCAGTCTTGGCCATCTGCTATTCCCTGGTGCCTTCCTGTTGCCCTGAAGACATTGGGGGTTGGGCAGATGGCGGTGATTTTTCTCCCTGTTGTTCTTCCTGGTTCCGGAGCATAGTGAGCCAGTCCCTAGTTTCTCAGGCCAGGTTGGGGCAAATTATTCTATAAAACCTTCTGATCTTTTGATGCTATCTTCTCAGAGTGAGATGAAATTGAAAAATAAATGAACAAAACAAAACGTACAACTACCCTCTCTTCCTCCGGGTATTGTCACCCTCTCTCCCTTAGTCCCACCCCTAAACATGCCTTGGGGCAGGCTGACACATTTTTGCAGTGGTGATTCAAAAGAAAAAGGGAAAGGAAGGAAGCAAATCTTAAACATGCCTTGGGGCAGGCTGACACATTTTTGCAGTGGTGATTCAAAAGAAAAAGGGAAAGGAAGGAAGCAAATCTGTCAGAAGCTGATTTAAAAGGCTAGTGAAGTGCAAATGTATATGTCAGACGGGATACACATTCCGGTTTTGTGTTTTGTTTTTCAGGTGGTGGGGGAGGAAAAGGGAGTGAGAGCTGCTCTTCTGGAATAACCTGGGAAAAGAGAAGATCTGATGCAAAATGTGAAGTCTTTGCTGCAGAAAGAGCACGTTGGATTCTGGGTCTGCTGCTCCTAATGTTGTTTCCCGTAATTAGGGAAAGCTCTGAGTGGGCTTCAGCAAACTGCTTTTTCCTTCCAACTCTAGCTCTGTTTCCTTGGAAAACAGCCAAGAGCCACCTGTTTGGCTCGGAATGAATGTAAGTAGCAATTGTTTCTGTTTTGGCCAGAAACCCTGAGGGTCTTCCCCTCCAGATTGATTTTTTTTTTTGACTAGGGAAAGAGGCCATTCTCTGCCTCCTTTCTAATTAAGTCTTAATCGTGGAATGGGTGACCTATTAAAGACCTTAGCTTGAAAAGGCCAAGGTCCCCCACTGCGTCCTGTGCCATCTCTAGTCGTCCTCATCTATATCTGGCCACTGGACCCAAATGGCTGTGGAGGTGAAAGTGAGGCTGGTGACTTTACACAGCCCTCCCTCACTTAAACCCGATTCACCTGCTGGTCATGGCATCACCTCCCTGATGTCGTGGTCCTCTTTGAGAACAAAGGACAAAAACAATGACAACAGTAACAATAGGAGTTTTACTTCTCTCCCTTCCCTAGGTCTGAAACCATAGGATAAACCGTGTTGTGTTTGAAATCCATCTCACTAACCTTTAACCTTTAATCACAGGGCCTGCTTATGGATCCTTGGAACTTTGCTCTCTAAATTAACTTCTGCCTAAATTCTAGCTGTCTTGGATTCATGCATCGAGGCACCTTAGGAAATCCCTCTGACGTGCTTTCCCACCAAAGAAGTTGCTGTTGTGGCCCGTATTAGTCAAAGTGACAAGGGACAAGTTTGGCTCTTTCACACGTCTGTACTTTATTTCTGCAAAAATGATTTGGGACCGACACCTTCGTTGGCTCAAAAATCACTGCAGCCTACAACGCAAAAGTAACAAAGCTGTTTCCGGCTTCCCTGGCTTCCTTCAAGTCTCAGCTAAAGCTCACCTTCTGCAAGAAACCTTTCTGGGTCTGCCTTACTGCCTGTGCTTCTTTCTGAGATAACCTCCAATTTATTCTGTATGTATTTGGTATTTGCAGATTGTATCCTCCATTAGATTGTAAGCTCCCTGACAGCAGGGATTGTTTTTCCTTTTTTATGCCCTGAGTTTAGTACAGAGTCTAGCATGTATCAGGTGATTAAGAAATGCTCGGCTTGCCTTAACTTGAATAGCAAGTACCCATGGTCCCTGCCACCCACAATATAGCACTGCTATTAAGTGATAACACTGGGATTAGAACAACAGACCATTGACAGTGCCCCTTCCTTTATACCAAGGGTTCTTAACCTTTTTTACAGTTACTAATTTTTCTTTTTTTTTGGTGAGGCAATCAGGGTTAAGTGACTTGCCCAGGGTCATACAGCTAATAAGTGTCAAATGTCTGAGGTCGGATTAAACTCAGGTCCTCCTGGCTCCACAGCCAGTGCTCTATCCACTATACCACTTAGCTGCCCCCAAAACATTTTTTAAAAATAAGTTCACAGACCAGAAGCTCTTCATCCTCTATAGCTGGGTGGGACCTGGAGTCAGGAAGACCTGAGTTCAAATCCATCCATCATCAAACACTTACTAGCACTGTGACCCTGGGCAAGTCACTTAATCGCTGTCTGCCTCAGTTTCCTTAGCTGCAAAATGGGGATAACAATACCTATTTCACAGAATTGTGAGAATCTAAATGGATCTAAACTTTTAGTAAAAAGTTTCCTAAACTGAGTGCCTTCTGAATATGTAGTGCTACCCTACTGTCTTTTTTCCATACTGTTTCTTTACATAGCTATAGCTCAGTCATGAGAGCTAGTATACTAAATCTCATTTATACCAATGAATTTTAATATTGATTTTCCTCTCACAATACGATCGCTAATTCTCCCTATTTGTAAGCCACACTAGGTACATTTGTACACAGAAATCTGAGGCCCAGGCTTTCATTAGTGGATTTCTTCTTGGATACCATTGCCTATGAATAGTGTGGAACATTTTTGCTTGGCTTTTAACTTGCTATTCTGTGTTATATCGTGAATGTAAAAATACTCATCTCTCTCTATGGGTTGCTACAAAATTCTCCTTTCCCTCTATACTTGTTGAAGTGAGACCCTCAGGCCATTGTTTTATTGGTAGCTCTTTGAGCTAACCCTCATCCTCACTTGCCCCTGAAAACTGTCATGCTGCTCACACACTGATGGCTCCTTCTCTGAAGGCTGAAACTTGATTTACTTGTGGTCAGCTTCCTGCCTTTTTTTTTTTCTGATATGACCCTATCTGCTCAGCTTCCTGTAATTGGCAACTGAATGATTCCTATGGAATCCTACCAATAGAAGCTGCTCCACAAATAGAAATGCAATTATCAGCAAAGCCTATCTAATTAACCCTAATTACTCACTTATTTTCTCCATTCCCTGCTGAACTCCAGATACCTCCTTACACTGCCTTGGTCTCTTTCTCATCTTTCACAGTTGGTAAGTGAGGATTAATTTATGCATAGCCAACTCCCCTCTTTTTCTGATAATGGGATGAGATTATATGCTCCACTACCTTAATTTTATTTTTAATCTTATTTTTATTGATAACTTTTGTTTCTGTATCTTTTTAATATCCAACTGTCTTCCTCCTCCTCCTCCTCCCCTACCCAGACTGTTGTCCCTTGTACTAAAAAATAAAAAATAAAGATAAAGAAACAGTTCAGCAAAAACAACCAGCACATCGACCATGTCTGACAGTAGATGCAATATTCCACCCTTTAGTTCTTTACCTCTGCTGAAAAGGAAGAGAAGTATACTTTTTCAATCATTATATAACATAATTCTATTTTATATAAATTATGTAAATAGTAATATATTATGCAATATATTATAAATACAATGTATAATGGAAAATAATACATATTATGTTATGCTATCTCATAATTATATAATATCCCATTTTGGTTTTTTGTTATTTCATGTACGTTGTTGTAGTTATATGTCTCCTCATGCTTCTCTAAATTTTTCATATTCAATGCTATTATGGTGTAGTAATAATAATAATGATAATTGACATTTATATAGAACTTCAAGGTTTGCAAAATGCTTTACATATATTGCCTCATTTGCTTATCAATTTCACATTTCATGTATGTTTGCTTTGTTTCCAATTCTTTACACCACAAAGTGCTAATGAACATTTTGGGGTGTATGCCTGAAATTCTCTTCATAACTTTGTAGAATCTCTTAAGATTCTAAAAAGAATTAGCTTGAGTACCACCTTCTGTAGGATGTTTTTTTGTTGTCCCCATCTGCTAATGCCTTCCAGTCTAATCTATTGTATATGTATCTAATATGTACCCATTTACGTATATATTGTCTCCCTCAGTAGATAGTAAGCTCCTTGAGAGCAGGGACTGTATATTTGCCTTTCTATGTAAGTACAGTGTCTGGCACATAGTAAACATTTGATAAACTCTTTTTAATTGAATGAGTCATGATTTCATATTGCTCTTTTTCCCCCCCATAATTTTATTTTCCTCCCTATCCTTTTTGATCAGCTTAGCCAAAGGTTCATCAATTTTGTTAGTATTTTCAAAGGACTCACTTTTGTTAGTCTTTTTATTTTCCACTTTGCAAATTTTTCCTCCAATTTCTAAGATTTTCTCTTTTTTGCTTATTTTGGGTTTGTTTATGTGCATATTTTTTAGTTTTTAAGTTGCAAATTTAATTTATAATTTAAAACTTTTAAAATATTAATATGAATTTTGAGATATAAATTTTCCTCTGACTACTGCTTTATCTGAATACCAGAAATTTGGTCATCCTGTTTCCTCATTTTTACTCTCCTAGTTATTGTTTCTATGATCAGAAAATGCTTCTTAAACTGTGGGTCCTGTGAAAAATATGGCAAGAGTATAATGTTTCTGAGCCTGCAACAACCAAAAATTAATTAAAAATCAAAAGCATTCTGAATCAGAGGTGTTTCTAGCAGCACTTGTTGGGGTTGCATCCCACAACTTCACTGCAGCCTTTGCTCTATACACAAAACATGCACACTTTGCATTATGTATGCCCCCAGGTCACACCGCACCAGCTAATGCTGCTGGAACTGCAGGGTCACAACTAGAAAAAGTTTAAGAAGCCCTGCATGACAATACGGAAAAAAAGAGCACTTTTCCTACTGAATTTCTAAGTTCTCTTTGGCATTCGTGGGTTGAGAAGTCTGGAAACTGCCACAGCTGCCCGTGATTCAGTCCTCTGAGGCCTGCTCCAGGTTCACCGAGGCCTGGTCTTTGCCTGCATGCCCCAGCCCAGCGCAATAGACCTTTCCAGTCAATCACCCAGGTTATCTTGGGCTGGAAATTTGTTTTGCTCTGTATTTTTGTGGCTTCTGCTGCTTTTGAATTTGTTTAGAGCCATTTTTATAGGTATTTGGAGGGGTTTGGGGGGGTCCTTCTCTTTAAAGCAGGGCCTGTGAATGATACTGTGAGTGAAGGAATCACCTCACTGTGTCAGATGCAAATGCAGCAACTACATGGCCACAGCTGAGTCAAACTATTTTTAAAGATGCTGACTCAGCCAATTAAAAAAGCCTCCTTGCAATGATGTGGCAGGCCAAGAGAGGCCAGTAACAGAATATCTATACCTGCTGCCATCTCTCAAAGCACTTCCCTCACATGTAATCATGACTCTCTCAGAAACAGCTCCTTAGTGTCCTCCACACCAAGACATCATCTTAGCAAGTTGAGGAGGGTTTGTAAAGATACTAGACACCTTCCTCCATTAAACTGATGTGTATGTCCCTGTGTTACCATGCAAGAGAAAAAAAGAGTGGTGTTCAACCAAGTCACATCTGACTGTTCACTTCTACTTGGCACTTGGTAAGAAGGGCAATGATTTGTCAGACGAGGTGAGGGTGTCTGATGTCTCCATCACTGAGGTGTATTGGATGGCAAACAGAAGGGGCAAGTAGAGGACTAGGACCTTAGAGAATCCAGCTGGTTCAGTCAACTGAATAGCAACATATAGTTCATTGTGGAAGACAGAATATTTATCATTATTTAAAGGGACATAGAGTGGAGAGTCTTAGAAGGTGATTCTAGATTCTGTACAGGTTACATAGACTTCAGAGGAAGTAGGTAATTTAGAGTCAAAAGGCAGCCTGGAGCCATGGATAGAGGCCAAGCCAAGAAGACCTTGGTTCAAGTCACACCTCAGGTGGTCCAGTTGTGTGACTCTCAACGAATTATTTCACTAACTCTCAGTACACTACACACCTGTAAATCACATAGCAGCAAGAGTTCTGTATTTGGGGGCCAGAGAACTTCGGATGTTGATCAAGATCCTTCCCTTCACTAGGTCTCAGTTTCTTTACATCTTTTTTTTTTTTTTGGCAAGGCAATCAGGGTTAAGTGACTTTCCCAGGGTCACACAGCTAGTACCTGTCAAGTGTCTGATGCCTAATTTGAGCTCAGGTCCTCCTGATTCCAAGGCCTATGCTCTGTCTACTCTGCCACCTAGCTCTTCCCTTGCCATTTAAAATGGGCATGTTGGATCAAATGACCTCTCAGATACTTTCCATTACTAGATGCATAAACCTGTGTAAATAACCCATTTATTAGTGGAGCTTCTTAATTCTAGTTCCTAAAAGCATTCCTATTGCCCTCCACCATCTTCCATGCCATTAAAGGAATTTCCTAGCCTAGGTTGGTTTGACTGAGCATGGGCACTTCCTAGATATGAGTAACTGCTGAATAAGAGATAACTTTATGCTTTTATTCCCTAGAAATTTATGTAAGGGTGTATCCATTTCATCCGTATATGCCTATACTGAGAGACTGAGTTCTAGCAAATCAGGTACCAGGCGTGGCCAAAATACTCAAGATTCTGAGGAGACGGGAAAACCCAGACATCCCTCATGAGTTCCCTGCCATAGATCAGCATCCTGGGAGAGAAAGCGACAAAGAAATGTCTGTGTCAGGGAAGAGGCCTGTGGATCCCAAACAATGCAGCCTTGCAGTGCTTTCAGGAGTCCCAAGGTTCCATAACAGCAGTCAGTCTATTAACCACCCAAAATGAACTGTTTTTTATCTCTCCACACACCATCCTGCAAAGTAGAGTAATACAGCTCATGTGTTAGTGACTCAGCCCTCAACTTTGTTCTAGGTAGACCCAACTTCCTGTTATCTGTACGGATCCTCCTGTAGAGAAAGTGCTGATGATACCCCACTTCTAGATCCCCTCCCTCTGCTGAAGTTGGTCTGGATTTCTCTGACTGCCTCTGATGAACTTCTGTACCCAGAGAGCTGCCAATAACATCTTCACCTATAACTCTCTTGTGAGGTTCTCTGGACTTTCCACTTGGT